TTTCTCCATTAGTTTTCAATGAAAGATCGCAGACCTTAAACATTAACTCTGTTTTACTCTTTACAGCTGACATTAAACTTACTGCGTAATTCCAGCATTTGCTTTCTTTTACTTCATATTTCCAGCATTTGCAGTATTTTGCTTTTGTATTAGTTTCCAACTCACCTTATTGCCTGGAGTTAAAATTAGGACGAAAAATCAGTCTTGAACTAATAACCTTCCAATTCAGGAAGAGTTATAATAACTCAGCCAAGTAAAAGTGATCTGTTTGGTTAATTAATAATGAAGACATTAAAAACTCAAGCTTAGTTTATGTGTCACATATACCAGTACTATTTTTTCAGTAGACATTTCAATTTAAAAGTCATTTGTGTGCTGTTATGAAATGTTCTCCACTGGATGCGAACTTGTTGTCAGTGACATATGTATAACATTAAGAACTTCCTTAAACTGTGCACCGGATCTGTCAGAAAGACATATGATGGCTTTTTAACACAAAATGGTAGTGGAGGTCAGTGACTTTGTTTTAGCCAGCAGACAGTCTCAGACTGTGTTGCGCTGGTATTCCTTCAATTGTTCACAGAAGGAACAAATATATGTATCAAGCTTTTCTCAGTAATAACAGGAGGCCATTTGATCATTGCCTTTGTGTTTACCATTTTACAGGCTCTGGCAGAGATGCCTAAGACCTAATTAAACTAGGGAACAGGTCCTTATTATATATTCATTAAGGGATAGTTGGGTGAGATCTGGGTGTTTATTTTTTGTAGATATATTTCACTCATATATAGGGGACAGTTTATTGGAGTTTTGTGGTGTATAAGTTGAATTAAAACTTTGATCAGAAAAGTACATGCCTGAACTCTATCTAAGCAACTTTTAACCTCTGGTGTTTAACATGTTGCAGCTCCTTAACAAAGTTATCGAGTGAACCCATTCCATTTCCCCATTGTACTATTTTGATTTTTTTCCACCCTTTGGTTACCAATTTCCTTTCCAGTCCTTGGGCTCACCACTGACTTTTCTTCTGACTTCCTCATGAAATTTACTTTTGAATCTGCTTTCACTGCCTTTTTGGGTAGCAAATTCCAGACCGCTAATTTGATGCACTTTAAAAAAAAATCATCTTGCCCTTAATATACAAGCTAGCATTCATATATACATATCACTGCCTTCTTGTCTGAGCTGTAACTTAGCTTATTGGCAATTGCTGGGACTGAGGTAAGTTTTTCTTTTTTTTCTGAAAAGTGGCTTTATTCATTATCTTACAACAGTTGGTGGTAACAGCTTTATTTTACAGACAACAGGCACCCACAATTAATAAATATTATTTTAAAATCAAGGATACTGATTGGTTACAGTTCTTTGTGGATGCGGGAGTTTGACAGGGATTTATTAATTTATAGAAAATGTTACAAAATGGGACGGAATATAGTAACAACAAGCCATAAATTGTTACTTAGAATTCACAAAAACTTGCAATTTCCACAAAAAAGTTGTTAAACTAGGAGAAATGCACTTAAGAGAAAAAAATGCGGGCACAAATAGTATAAATCTCCTTTGCCAATACAATTAATTACTTAAAAGTCAGAAATTTGGAGTTGCTGTTTCTGAATTTAGGGTACTATACAAAACACTATGACCATTAGATTTATATCGTATGTACAGTGTAACCCCTCACAGTTCAGATAGTGTAGCATCAATAATTGCCATAGGGTGTTTCTAATCGAGGTAAGCATTTAAAATCAATAGTATTTTGTAAGAAACAATGAGAACAAATGGAGTAGCCAAACTAAGGAAATAAGTATTTAAAAAGGAATATTCTAACCAGACAAGGCTAAGTGCAGATAATCTTTACAGATCTCAAACAGAATTGGAAAAATGAGGAAGAAACATGTGGTAAAAAGCAAAGTGTCTGTTTTTAGCACCTTCTCAAACATATTTATAAGACACTTGGATATCAGGAGCCAAAACATTGATCAATTGTCCTTGATTTTGTTGTCTCTTTCTATTCACTGAATCTCAGGAGGAACTCGGCTTCGTTTCAAGTTATCTTCTTATTTGCTTCTGTGATCACATCCTTCATGACTTTTTGGGAGACCCTGATTTTACTGCTGCGACAGCTCCCTGGCAAGCAGAGGTATCACAGATTCCTGGTGTTCCCATAGCGCCATTTCTTCCAGGTCGTCCTGGATCTCCTGGAGGGCCCGGGTCCCCTTGTGCTCCATCTCGCCCATTCTTACTAAGTCCCATGGCTCCTGGGGGCCCTACAAATGAGAAATGTACGGAACGTTACAGAGAAGGAAATTGCAGCAATTAAGACTGGATACGAGGTAACAGAGTAGAGAGACCTCCATATTCAGATTTACAAGGCAATAAGATGATGGCACCACAAATAGGTAACAACATCAACACAACTCATGAAGCCCCAAAGCAATTCATATAGACACAACCAACCAAAAGATGGACTAAGACAAAGGAAGTTTAGGAATATGACAAAAAGCTTCACGATAGAGATGATTTTTAAGGACTACCTTAAAAGAATAGAAAATATGGTAGACAGAAGGGATTTTTTTTTATTCATTCACAGGATGAGGGCATCACTTATTGCGCATCCCTAATTGCCCAGAGGGCAGTTCAGAGTCAACCACATTGCTGTGGGTCTGGACTCATTGCCATAAAATGGCAGTTTCCTTTCCTAAAGGACATTAATGAATCAGATGGGTTTTTCCCCAACAATTGATAATGGGTTCATGGTCATCATTAGACTCCCGATACCAGATTTTTTTTTTTTTTATTGAATTCAAATTCCACCATCTGCCGTGGCAGGATTTGAACCCAGGTCTCCAGAACATTATCTGGGTCTCTGGATTAACAGCCCAGTGATAATACCACTGGGCCATTGCCTCTATTGTGGTAGGATTCCAAAGTTTGCTAACCAGACAGCTCTGGACAGGGTTACCATTGATGTACAAGTCAAAGGAACAGAGTGTCCTGTTCAGGAATGTTTGTAAAGCTGGAAAACAATAAAGAGATGGGCTGGGGGTGGGACAGATAACCATTAAGGAATAAAAGTGCAAGCATGTGAATTTTGCTTTGAGGTATTGAGTGACAGAAGGCCAGTTAAGGTTAGGTGGGGGTAGGGGTGGGGATTG